TGCACTTTGGTCTACTTTGCCTGAGGCAATTTTTAATCGGATCGTCACAGACTCATAAACCAAAAACCCTATTGCCTGAACCCTACGACACTTGGTCAATTGCACTTTGGTCTACTTTGCCTGAGGCAATTTTTAATCGGATCGTCACAGACTCATAAACCAAAAATGCCTGGTGAAATTTGATTGCCTGGGGGAACCCTATTGCCTGAACCCTACGACACTTGGTCAATTGCACTTTGGTCTACTTTGCCTGAGGCAATTTTTAATCGGATCGTCACAGACTCATAAACCAAAAATGCCTGGTGAAATTTGATTGCCTGGGGGAACCCTATTGCCTGAACCCTACGACACTTGGTCAATTGCACTTTGGTCTACTTTGCCTGAGGCAATTTTTAATCGGATCGTCACAGACTCATAAACCAAAAATGCCTGGTGAAATTTGATTGCCTGGGGGAACCCTATTGCCTGAACCCTACGACACTTGGTCAATTGCACTTTGGTCTACTTTGCCTGAGGCAATTTTTAATCGGATCGTCACAGACTCATAAACCAAAAATGCCTGGTGAAATTTGATTGCCTGGGGGAACCCTATTGCCTGAACCCTACGACACTTGGTCAATTGCACTTTGGTCTACTTTGCCTGAGGCAATTTTTAATCGGATCGTCACAGACTCATAAACCAAAAACCCTATTGCCTGAACCCTACGACACTTGGTCAATTGCACTTTGGTCTACTTTGCCTGAGGCAATTTTTAATCGGATCGTCACAGACTCATAAACCAAAAATGCCTGGTGAAATTTGATTGCCTGGGGGAACCCTATTGCCTGAACCCTACGACACTTGGTCAATTGCACTTTGGTCTACTTTGCCTGAGGCAATTTTTAATCGGATCGTCACAGACTCATAAACCAAAAATGCCTGGTGAAATTTGATTGCCTGGGGGAACCCTATTGCCTGAACCCTACGACACTTGGTCAATTGCACTTTGGTCTACTTTGCCTGAGGCAATTTTTAATCGGATCGTCACAGACTCATAAACCAAAAATCATGGCCATTGTAATGAGCCTTTCGCGGTTTCTCGTTAAAACGATTAAACTTATACATGCATGGCTTAATCTTTGAAATGAACACATCAGTTCAGGCAGGATCAACCAGATATCTTTTATTTAGGTAGTTAGCAGAGCTGGAATTACCCAGTCTGCGGGTAATTAAGCTGTCATTAATATTGATTATATTGATAATTTTGGAATAAAATCTCGAAAATAATCTGAAATTAAAAATTAATGACAGCTTATTATATATTTAATTTCCTTTGCAAAAGATATCTAAATTATTTACAATTTATCAGCGGCACTTTCACAAAAGTTATCAATGGCAATTCCTGACAATTGTCTGGAGCCAAATAAATATTGCAGCTGGAGAAAAATTAGGATTATAAAGCTTATGATTATTATCAGATTTAGAATAAAGCTGCTTTAAAATAAACTGATAATAAAGCTTAATATAATAATAACAGTAAATTTTTTAAAAAAATAAAGCTTATAATAATAAACTTTAAATTTAAAAAAAGATTAAAGTTTATTATTATAAGCTTTATTTTTTTTAAAAAATTTAATTCTTCAAAAAAATTTTTTTAATCCTAATTTTCCTCCCACACATTTTTATAATTGCCCATTTTCTTTTTGCCTTAAACCATTCCCGCGAACAGCGAACAACAAATAGCCCCGCCCACTTTGCCTTAGAGAATTTTTTCTTAAATATTGAGAAATTGAAAACACAGTGATTACGACCATACCGCGTTGAAAGCACGCCATCCCGTCCGATCTGGCAAGTTAAGCAACGCTGGGCTTCCTTAGTACTTGGAACGGAGACGTCCTGGGAATCGGGGGTGTCGTAATCTTTTTTTAATGCTTTGGCAAAAACTTGAGTCTAAGAAAACACACTTGAGTCTATAGAAAACAATTATTTAACTTTTTTATAAATTGTAGTTTATATATACATACCTTTACTTGAGTATATATTTTACTTGAGTCGATTATTTGATTGCCTTGGGTAAATTTGATTGACTGGGGGGGGGGGATTTTTAATCGGATCGTCACAGACTCATAAACCAAAAATGCCTGGTGAAATTTGATTGCCTGGGGGAACCCTATTGCCTGAACCCTACGACACTTGGTCAATTGCACTTTGGTCTACTTTGCCTGAGGCAATTTTTAATCGGATCGTCACAGACTCATAAACCAAAAACCCTATTGCCTGAACCCTACGACACTTGGTCAATTGCACTTTGGTCTACTTTGCCTGAGGCAATTTTTAATCGGATCGTCACAGACTCATAAACCAAAAATGCCTGGTGAAATTTGATTGCCTGGGGGAACCCTCTACTTTGCCTGAGGCAATTTTTAATCGGATCGTCACAGACTCATAAACCAAAAATGCCTGGTGAAATTTGATTGCCTGGGGGAACCCTATTGCCTGAACCCTACGACACTTGGTCAA